ATGTATTTCTCACATTGTGGAAGGATTTTGTCTGGTGCGAAAGGAGAGTCGTTTGTTTGTGTGTCTTGTTCTTCGTCGCGCATGTGCGTGTGTGCGTGTGTGTTTCTGTTCTTAGTTATATATGTATTTATCTCTCTCTCTCTCTCTCTCTTCTCTTTCTTTCCTTCCTTCTTTATCTCTTCTGCTGCGTTTTCATCGTACTTGTTTTCTTTTTCTTTTTTCGCCCGTCTTTCTGGGCGGACGGCCATCAAAGGAGAGACCCCATATGCATGCAACTGTCACTATGTGCCGTACTCCTTTTTTTTACTGTTTCGAACGTGGCCGTCGTTTTTTTTTGTTTCTTAAATATTATTTGGGTGTATGCATCCGCAGGCATGTGAGTATAAATGAAGTCTTTCTTTTTTTTCTCACTCTCTCACCCTCTCCGTGCGTGCGTGTACGTGGTGGATTTCCTTATGCTTTCGTGCTTTCATATGTCAATGCCTCCCTTGGTGAACTCCGTCACGCTCCTGCACTCCTGGTTACGTTGAATGGAGAGCCCGCGGAGAAGGGAAGTGGCCCAGCTTGGCGTGTCTGTGTCGCCGCCAAATAACGGGAAAACTGCCCCCAATAATAATCTTATCCTTTCAACCTTTCATTGTTTTTATTTTGCTCAGTCGTAGAATGACTGTTTTGGAAAAGGCAATCACTTCGATGTGTGTGGGCGCAATGCATCGCGCGGCAGTCCTCATCCTTCCCGGGGTGTGGGGCGGGTAGCCGCCGCCGCCGCCGAAGCGGCCTCCAAGACGGCCGTGCGGCTGAAGTGGCCCCACGGCGTCTTCACTTGCTGACGCTTGCCCATCGACTGGCAGGCGCCGTGACGGCACTCGCACCGTGGCGGATGGTGGTCACTTCTGCACCGCCGGGCCAAAGAAAAAGTGATGCATTGGGCCTCTTTGCGACGGCCCACGACGGCGCGCGGCACTCGGACGCTGCAGCGCGGCAGTGGGGGAAAAGGGAGGCGCAAGGAGGCCGGACGAGAATAGTCGGCCTGCGGGGCCCGCCTTCAAGCGGCGTCCGTGGGCGGCGGGGGATCCGTCTGCAGGAACACGCGGCCGGGGTAGTGGGGAGAGAGCACGCAAAGAGCGCGTTGCCTGGACGGCCACTTGGGCGTGTTGCGGGACGTATTTCCCTCGTGCCGGCGTCCACAGGCGCGTGGGGGGACGGCACTTGTGCGCTGGGCGTGCGCCGTGGGGAGAAAAAGGGAGGGAGGGTGGTGGTGGCGGAGCTGACGCCCGGAAGGGGAGAGTGCGACAGTGCGCGGCTGCGTCACGCGGCTGCTCTCCCGCGGCGCCGCAGACGGGCCTTAGAAGAGAAGGGCTGATTCGTTTTCCTTTTGGTGTTTGCGGGCGCGCAAAAACGCCCTTCCGCAACTTCAAATGTCACCAGCAGGGAAGTAAGTGTGGGCGGTGAAGGATCTTCGCGGCCTCTTTCTCTCTATCTCCCCATTGGCTACTGAAGGAGTGAATACACACCCTAAACGCATACATCTCTGTGGTCCCAAAGCACGAGGGATAAGTGGACACTGTCATTGCAGCATTTTTTCTTGGGGAAATTAAGGCCTATAGTTTTTTTTAATATTTCTTTTCTTGTTGTTGTTTTGTCGTTGCTTTCGTGGTGGCATCTGTCTGCTTTAGTTTCGCGCGGTTCAGCGGTTGTCCTCTGTTTTTTTTTCCTCCGGCTGAGGGGCTTCAACTGCGTCACCCGTCTTTGCTTTATGTGGCGCTTTGCTTCTTCGCATTTGTGGCGGGCGGCAACAACACTTTCGCCACGAGGAAGAAGTCGACACTTTACTCTTTTTTCTTTTTTTCCCCCCCTTTTCGGTTTTGGTGCTTTTGCGCGGTGGCTCCCTCCACCGGCTGCCGGCGGTGTCGCCGTGGCCACTTTCTCCTCTCTCCCTGTGCTGTGCCGGCGCTCTCTCCCCGCTCACGCTCAAGCGCAGGGGTGTAGCGGAGGGCACACGACTAGCAGGCGATAGACGCTCCGCGGCAGCACACACGTTCACTCGTTTCCCGCTTGAAATTTTTCACTGCAGCTCCGCAATGGCGTCGCCAACTCCGCCGCTGGGGGTTGGACGCGGCGGTGGCGGCGGCGGCGGCAGCAGCAACGCCGGGGCTCCTTACCGCCGTCCAGCCAATGAGACGGACGGGAGTGCCTCCGCCACGCCCTCGGGCCCCTACAGCAATGGTGTCGCCCTCAACCGGGAGGTGGAGCAGCGCTTTGCACGTACCGTGGCGGAGTACGAGTATAAACTGCTGGAGGAGCGTGGCCGGGCGCAGGAGCGAGAGACACGGCTGCTAGAGGAATTACAGCGGGAAAAGGAGAAGGTGGGGCGTCTCATGGGTCAGCGCGCGCAACCAGAGGAGGAGGCACGGCAGGAAAGTCAGTCTGGGCGGTTGGTGTCGGTGGACGAGTACGAGCGGCTGCAGCAGCAGCTGCAAGACACACGCCTGATGCTGCAGGAGGCGGAGCGCCGCTATCAGCAGGAGAAGCGGGAGCTTTTAAACCTGCGAACCTCGCAGCTGCGCAGTGAGACCTCAAAACGCGGGCAGGAAGGCGACATCATTGCCCGCGCCATGCAAGTAATGTCGGAGTACGAGGCCGTGGTGCGCGCCGGGGAGGAAAGCAGTCTGGCGCGCCTCTCGCAACACATGGAGGTGTTCGAAAAGGAGTGGGTCCGTCGCTCGCGTGAGTTTGAAGAACAGAAGGCGGCGTTTGAGGCGGCCGTGATGGTAAAAACTCGGCAGGCGCTGGCGGAGCATGAGCAGGACGTGAAAGAAGTTAGTCGAACGCTGCTCGAGAAGACGACGCACGCCCTTCGCGACCACAGTGAGCTTCGACTGGAATTGGAGGGGGAGGTCATGCGCCACGCGGAGATTTTCAAGGAGGAATACAAGGAAATCCTGGACAAGGAGTTCTACGACCGGTGTAAAATGTATGATGAGAAGATTACGGAGCGGGAGCGTGGCTGGGTGAAGATTATGCAGGAGGAGCGTAAGAAAATCATCGCTGCCGAGCAGCTGGCTGTCAAGGAGCATGAAACGTTGCACGTGCATGCCCTGGAGGAGGCGATGCGGGATCTCTCGCAGCTGCGTGAGCAGCTTGTTCGTGAGCATCAAGAGCAGCAGACCGAGGCCATGAAGGACCTCATCGCACGACGCGAGGACCTGCAACGGGAGCATGAGGAGCAGATTGCCAGAATGAACGCAAATACGCAGCAGATGCAGCGGGAGTGTGCCGCGGCGGTGGAGGAGGTGCAGAATGCGATGAGAGAGTTGCATGTCCAGATGGCGGCAAAGGAGGCGGAGATGGCGCGACGGCTACAGGAGGCCGAGCATCAGTCCGATAGGGCCGCGTTGGCCAAGGGACTGGAGGTCCGCAGTGAGGTGGAGCAGCGGTGGTCGTCGATGCTTGAGAAGGAGTCTGCGACGTACAAAAACGATGTGCAGCGGCTGAGCAAGGAGTATCAAACCACGATTGATCGCATGCGTGGTGAGCAGGCGGAACGCGAAGGCGCGCTCCTCGCGTCGTATGAGCAGCGTGTGGTGCAGGTGGAGGAGGCCGCCGAGCTGCGTTGGAGCAGTCGCGTCGAGGAGTCGATGCGGGGGTTGGAACGGCACATGGAAGTGGTGCAAATGCTGCGCCACGACAACGAAACCATGTCGGCCCGCATCGAGCGACTCACGCAGGAGCTGGAGCTGAGTGCGGCGGAGATGGAGGGCGCCGTGGCGCGCGCGCGGCGCGAGCAGGACGTGGCGTGGCATCAAAAGGTTGAAGAGATGCGGCAGCGGTACGACAGGCTGCTCGACGAGGCTCTCGGCGGCACAGAAGACGCGGGTGTTGGGCCTGGCGTCTCCCGGCGCGAGTACGAGAAGGTGGTGTCGCGTGTGAGGGAGTGGGAGGAGAAGTGCGTTGCGGTGAAGCAGCAGGGCGAGCTGCAGCGGGCGCAGGAGCAGGAGGAGCTCAACGCCGTGTGGGGGAGGCGCCTCGACGAGGAACGCGCGCAGCGGGCGGCGTGGGAGGCGGAGCAGCTGAACGGGCTCGCCAAGACGCGTGAGGCCTTCCTGCGCGACTTGGAGGAGAAGGAGAAGGCCGCCGCCGAGCGACAGCGGGCGGAAGGCGATGCCCTTCACCAGGCATTCCTGCAGCAGCAACAGTGGGAGCGGGAACGCTGCGACGCCGCCATTGCGCAGGCGCAAAACGAGGCAAATGAACGATGTGTCGCCGTCTTCAACGAGCAGGAAAAGGCATTTCAGGACCGGATACGAGTACTAGAGGCGCGCGTGGCCCAATCGATGGCCGATGTGCGGAGTCGTGAGGAGGAATTGCAAGAGGCCTTTGCGCGTAAAATGGATGCGGCACAACAGAGCGCGCTTGATTACATTCGACGGGAGCGTGAGGCGCTGCAGACGGCGTACGACGACAGCTTTGCTGCGCTGCATGCTGAGCAGCAGCGCTGGGAGGTGCAACGCACGAAGCTGCACGAGGAGATCGCCGAGCAGTACGCGGAGCGGTTTGCGAGGGCCAAATCTGACATGCAACAGCACCTAGTGGTTGTCACGGAACTGATGCTTTCGTACCAGGAGGAGTCTGAGTCCTTGTGGTTGCAGGCGCGCAAGGAAGAGTTGGAGGCGTTTAACAACGAACGCGTGGCCTACAGGAGACGTCTGGAATCATGCAGCGCCGCCGATCTCGCGCGCGTGCGGGCGCAGGCGGAGGAGACACTCCGAATGGAGCGAGCGGCCTTGGACGAGCGCGAGAGGGCGTTGCATGAGACGCTGCTGGCGAGCCAGACGAGCATGGAAAAGGAGGCAGCCGAGCACGCCATGCAGATGTTGGAGGAGCAGCAACGCATCCTCGCCGAGGCGACGTGGCAGCGCTCGCAGGAGCAGCAGCAGCAGTGGGAGGGCCTGAAGACGGCCTGGCTGGAGAAGACCTGGTCGATGGAGGGCGCGCACCGGGCGGAGATCCAACAGATGCAGTTCGCGCATGAAACAGAGCTGGAGGAGGAGCTACAGCGGCGGAGGGCGGTGGTGGAACGGCAAGATGTGGTGTTGCAGACAAAGTGGCGCCAGTACGAGGAGCAGCTGCGGCGGCGCGAGGAAGAGCTGCAAGACAAACACGAGGCTGCGTTGAAGGCAGAACGGCAGTATCACGAGGGGATTCTGGCGGAGTTGCGCAAGGAACACGAGAGCCGCCTTGCGGAGGAAAAGCAGCGGGCGCAGACGCTGCTCCGGGAGCGTGAGACGGCCTTCGATTTGGAACTCCGGCGGGTACTGGAACGCATGGAGGTGCAGGGCCGGGAGCAGCAGGCGTCGGCCAACGCACGTGTGCGGGCGCTGCAGGAGGAGTTTGACGGGATGATGTGCGCCGTGAAGGCAACCTCGCAGCAGCATCAAGAGGACTACATGCGGCGGGTGGAGCAACTGCAGCAGCTGCACCTCACCCAACTCGAGGAGCACAAGGCCGAGCTGCAGGGGAAATACGACGAGAGTCTCTGTGCCATGCATAGAGGCATGGAACTGCGACTGCGCGAGTGCCTCACCTCAGACATGGACGTGGCGGGGCGCGTGGCGGAGCAGCTGGCCGCGTTGCGTGAGGAAATGGAGGCAAAGTACGTTGCCTTCATGCAGGAGCAATTGGAGCGGGTGAAGGTGGAGCAGCAGGAACGGGAGGACAAATCTCAAAATATGGAGCGCCTCTTCAGCGCCCATCTTGCGGCGCTTCGCAGTGAAATAGACACGGCGCTTTCCACGTATTTTGCGCAGACGGAGAGCCGTGCAAGTGAGACCGCCAGGCAGGCACGCGCAGAGTTTGAGCAGAAGCTGCAGGCCTCCTTCGCCGTGCTGGAGGACGAGCAGCGGCGTCGCGCGGAGCTGGAGGACCAACTTCGCGAGGCGCGCGCCGACGTGGATGCGCTGCGCCTCACCCACGAGGAGCAGAAGCTGCAGGCGTTGCGGGAGGTGCAGGCGAAGTATGAAAACGTTTACAAGGAGTTGCATGACGCCCTTCGTGCGGAACGGGAGGCCTGGGCATGCCGCGCCCTCGGCGAGGAGGAGCAACGACTACTGAGAGAACTCACGGCACGCGAGGAGCAGCGGCGGCGTCAGCCCGCCGACACTTCTTCGTCGTGCTCCGCGGCCTCCCCAGCGGCAGGGCGCCACTCGTTGCTGCAGGAGTTCACACCGGTTGCCCTGCCGCGGCAGCCCCAACACTACCAGCGCGGCGTGGATGACACCTTCTCACAGCTGAACGTGCGGGCGACCCCGCGCACACCGTACGGCACGACGGCCGGCGACGATCGCACGGACGCGGTGCGTGACGCCTCTGACGAGAAGCTGCAGCAGCTGTGGTCCGTGATGGAGGTGCCAGAGGCGGAGCAGGAACAGACGCTGCGTCGCTGGTCCCAACTGCCGCCGCCGCAGCGTGCGATGGAGGTGCAGAAGGAAACACGGCGGCTGGAGCTGCAGCTTCCCCTGCTAGAGGTCGTCACGCGGCGCGAGTTCCTGATGCACCGCCTCAAGGAGCTTGAGAGGAGCGCGTCCGGCAACAACAACAGCAGCAATAGTATTGGTGGTGGTGGCGGTGGTAGCAGTAGTGCGCAGGCGGAGGAGTTCCGGAAAGAGCTCTTGCGGCTGACGCAGCACCTCAAGAGTGAGATTCCCCGACACGAGTCGATGTACGGCTGTGCCTTCCGCTTTCGTGGGTCGCGGTACATGGACACACTGCTTGATTGGTAGTCTTATGCGTCAGAGTCTGTGCGAAGCAGAGGTAGTCAAAACAAAAACAAAAAGTATGAGGGGGTAGAGTATCTGCATGACATCTGTGTGTCTTATATATATGCATACATACATATATATATATATATATATATATGTTCTGTTATTGGTATCGCTTAGCTGTATCGTGTCAATTGCTCCTTTTTCGCGGCCTCCTTGCCGCAGCCGATGCCCATCTCCTTCCCCGCGGCAATAGCCCATTTCCCTGTCCCCCGCTGCTCCGCTCTGGTATTTGCCTACAGCTTTCCCGCCCCCTTTTTTTTTTTTTGCACCCTATCCCTTTCTCTCGCCCGTCGCCGACGGACCGGGGTGCGGGAGGCACCCATAGCCAGGGAAGGAAAGGCACGTGCGAGGGAGATGGAGGGGCACGGGTTGGGGCCCACGACAGACGTTACGGTAAACGTTTCCGGCACCGTGACGTTGCCGCTGCACCTCCAGGCGCTGGAAAGTCTTGAGGACCCCGTGCTGCAAACGGAGATCATGCAGGAGGCCGCACGCCTTGCAATTGCTGAGAAGCTCGGCTCCTTTGAAAAGATGCACGTCACCGCCGTGCACAAGTATGGCAACCCCATCTGTGAGGCGAGGCTTGACTTTGCAGAACTCTGCTGCGCCATTGCCAATTTGCAACACGCCTACGAGCATGCCATGACCCACTTAGTGCAGATACAGCAGATGATTGACAAGGGACCGACACAGACAGAGGAAGAGAAGCTGAGTGGAGAGGAAGAAGAAGCGGCGGGTACGGAAAAAGTATTTGCAGCCATCCGTCAAGTGCTTCGACACGCGATGGAGGAGCCAGGCGAGGCCCCATTTGCGTCAGTCATTCGTGCATCCGCGCGTAGCAACGCGGCGGCAGGCGCAGGGGACCTAGCCGACGATGCTGATGATGCGGAAGTGGGGTTTTATGACGGCGTGCACGATCCGGAGGCAGAGGGCTACGCCCCGTTGCTGGAACACCACGACACGGCGCCGGTGGAGGAGGAGGAGGAGGTATAAGCAACAGCTGTGAAGCTGGCCGATACGGCGGCCGTCGAGCGGTGAAGTCCTCCTCTTCCGCTCGTCACTGGAGTCGTGTTTTCTTCGTTGTTGCTGCTTTTTCATTTTTGATGCGCGCTCTTTTCCCCTGCGCACGGCTTGTCGCGTGCCCGTGCGCTTCTGCCGTCTCATGTCGCGAAATCCTCACCGACTTGGCTGCGAGTTATCCCCTGATAGTTTTTGCAGCTCTCGTTTGTGTTGTTGTTGTTATTTTCCGTGTTTTTTTCTCTCTCTCGCTCTCGCTCGTTCCCGCCGCGGTCCCATCGCATTTTGGCGACGACTGCCAACGGTCAACACGCGACTGCGGCATAGATGCATGTGCGCAGTGGATTGTGGAGTTAGCGGTGAGTAGGATCCTTCCCAGGCAAACGGCGCGGGTGTGTTTCCCCTGGCGACATGTTTCAAGGCGTGACGGCCTTCCTGGAGGCGGTTGACGAGCGGGCGGAGGAACACGCACGGCAGCGGGCGGTGGCGGCGACGGTGACGGCGACGGCGCCGCAGGTCGAACCGGAGGGAGACGCGGGGTCCGGGGACGGCAGCGAGGGGAGAGCCGTGCACGGCCCGCACGCACCAACGGCGCCCAGCGGAAGCGCCGCCGCGCCGCCGCCGTTCCCGCACCAACCGGCAGCACTGCGTGGCCGCCACGCGGAGGCAAACACGCACGGCAGCAACGCCAGTGGGGGCGGCGGCGCATCGCCCTTGTCGGCAGCGACGGCGGGGGACATGGGCGGCACGGCGCAGGGGACGTGGAGCCACGTTGAGGAGGGGGCGGCTGCGGCGACGGCGATGATGTTTCAACGCGAGGTGGAGTCCTCGCTCCTGAGGCGAAAAGACGAGGAAATTGACGCCCTCGCACAAAACGTGCGGCGCCACCAGGCGGCTGCGGAGGCCGCGCGGCAGGAACTGCTGCAGCGCTCGCTGCAGGTGCACCAATTGGAGGAGTCGCTGCGCACCGTCAGGGCTCGCTTTGAGGAGCATAAGGCGAAGTCGCGCTGCCTACTGGAGGACAAGCAGCGCGAGTACGACGAGCTTCATCGCCGTCTTGAGCTGCAGGAGGGGGGAGCTGAGCTCTTGGGCAACGGCGAAAAGGACACTTCGCACGGCGGTGAAGCCGCGGCGGCACGGCAGCGGGAGGAAGAGTTAGAGGGCATGCTCGCCTCCATGCAGCGAGAAAAGGAGCGGCTGGAAGCGCAGCTTGCGGCCGGGCGTCGCGAGGTCGACGCCGCACACGAGCAACGACTTGCGGTCGTCCAACAGCTGGACTTTGCGCGGTTGGACTTGCGTGGGGCGCAGGAGGCCCTTGAGAGTGAGGTGGCGGCGCACCAGCGGAGCAGGGCCCTGTTGCAGGGGCGACAACGGGAGTTAAACGAACTGCGGGCGGCGGTGGAGCGGCACGGCGGCACCTTCACCGCAGCCGGCACCCTCGTCGCCTTTCGCGCCGATGACGCCGGGTCGCGGGACGGGGTGCTTTTCTCCCACCAACTGCTGGAGAAGCAGAACGCACTGGAGGCGGCCATGCGGGATGCAGCCGAGTGGCGGCGACGCTGCGAGCGTGCGACGGTTCGGCTTGAGGAGGAGCGCACCACACGCGTAACTGTGACGCATTCGCAGCAGCTGATGCGGGACGCGGCAGATCCCCGCCCGATGTTCCTCCGGCGCCTCTCCTCCACCGGCAGGTTGATGTCGGTGGTGGTGGAGTTGACGGCCGCCGTGGATGCGGCGGCCCTGCGCTTCGGCCGACTGCTGCGTCGGCAGCCTGTCGTGCGCCTTGCCGTCGTGTTCTACATACTTTGCTTGCATGTGTGGTTCTTGATGGCGTTGCTGATGGTTGAAAGGAGCGCGAGCCTGTCGCGTGCGGCCAACAAAGTCCCCTGACGGGCAACACGAAGTGTTACAAAGCCTTCCTCATCGCTCGCTCGCTCTCGCTCTCTCTCTCTCTCTCTCTCTCTGTGTGCCGCTATAAATATATGCAGATACATGCATCTCGGCCGCTTCTGATGCGTCTTTTCCCATCGTATGGTGTGGCTGTGCAGAGTGCGAAGGCTTTCCTTTGCGCTCTCCCGCATTTCTTCTTCTTCTTCTCCCGCGACCGCAGCTGCGCTGCCTGGACGGACGGGCGAAGCACCTCCTCTTTTTTTTTTCTTGTTTGCTCTCATTCACACTCCCACACAGTAGGGCGCGGCGGATGGAACTGGTTGACCCTGTCATTCCCGCCACCGATCATGAGGTGCAGCAGGGGCTGCGCCTGCTGGAGGCCCCAATTGTCGTGTTTGCCGAGGCGGCTTCCGAGCGTCGCTACCGCCTGCGCAAACTCATGATCGAGGGCGGCTACCGAACGCTTGACGACGTGCGTAGCAAACACTCCACGGCCCCCGCCGCACTGCCGCCCCCGCAAGGTGGCAGAAGGGCTCAAGGTGCGTCTGCCCCAAGCGCTCCCGTGCGAAGCAAAGAAGCCTTTTCGCTGGCGTCACCAGCGCTGGTGGAGCGGCGCCAGGCACTTTTGCCGCTCTCACTGGCGCGCGCGGAGCTTCGCATCGCAAGCCTAAAGGAGGCCTTTGTGGCATCCTCGAGGGTCCTTCGCCCCGCTCACGAGGCGGCCGTGCGTCCATTGCGGCGCATGCGCCTGACGAAGTCCGTTCGCAACGTCAAAATGGGGTGTAGTCGCGGCAGTCACGGTGGGGGTGCGTCATCCTCACTCGTAGGGACGCTTTGTATGCCGTTCACGGCGTGCGCCGCCGTGCCCGTGCTGCCACACACGGTCGTCACTGGCGCAGCGGACGGCGTCGTCACGGTGTGGAATACGGACGCCTGTCTGCCGCTGGTGAGCGTCTCTAGCTGCGACAGCGGCTGGGGGCATGTCCAGCACCTTGCCGCACATCCGACAAACCCCTTGGTTTTCTCCACTACCATGTTTGATTACTGTATTGCTGCCTGGCGTATTACTAGTGACGCGACTAATGACGAGGGTGATGCTACGAGTAACAACGTTGGCGTTGGTGCACATGGCGAGAAAAAGGCTGGTCAGGCCGGCCTTGAGCGTGTAGCTACAAGTGAGGCGCAGCATACGGCGCGCATTCAGCGTCTTGCTGTGGATCCCACAGGCTCCCTACTTGCCTCCACCAGTGATGACTCTACTGTGTGCTTGTGGGATTCCGCTGGTGTTGCGCCTCTGGGAAGCCTGCCGCATCTGTTGACACAAGACGGCTATGAAACGGCGGGGGGGACACTGGGCGTCTGCTTCCACCCGGATGGGTCACTTCTCTCTACGACAGACAAGGCGGGCCGTGTGGTAAGCTGGGACTTACGAAGCGGAAGGCATGTCTTTACAACGGCGGGAAAGCACGGTGGTCACTTGAATTTCTGCACGTGTGTTTCGTGGTCGCCTTGCGGAGTTCGTTTTGCATCCGGCGGCGCTGACAATGTTGTGCACCTGTGGGACGCACGGTATTTGGCGCGCGGAGCCGCAGAGGCGCCGTGCATCCTGGTCGGGCACGAAGACGTCGTGACGTCGGTGTCGTTTTGCGCCAATCCCGCCTTTCCTGTCCTTCCCGCTGCCGTGGCGTCGACCTCACTAGACGGCACCGTGCGACTGTGGGATGCAGACGCCGCGGGTGTGTGCGTGCAGGTGCTGCATGGTCCCTCACCCGTGCGGGCGCAGTGCCGCCCAGCCGGCGGCGCGGACACCGCGCTGCTGACGGTGGCGCACGGCAAGTACTGGTCCATGTGGGACGTTGTGGCGGAGGGCGAGGAGGACGCGGTGGTTCCGACGGAAACGGAGGCGACGTCGTTCGTGGCACCCGCCCTCCTGCAGCACGGCGGCGTGGCCGAGGCGGAGGAGGAGGAGGAGGAGGAGGATGAAATGATGGCGCTGCGCAAGGAGAGGGCAACGGCAGCAAAAACAACCGACGCGCCGTCCTTGAGTGGCGACACCGAGGATGAGGATGAGGACGAGGATGAGGATGAGATGAGTTTCTTGAAGAGAAGGTGAGGGGAAAAGCAAAAGAAGAAGGCCGGTTTAACAGCATGGGAGAAAAGAGGATTGCGGGCGGAGTGAGTTTGTGTGTGTGTGTGCGTGTGTGGCTGCCACGTCCCCTGGTGGGTGGGTGGTGACGCGATGCTGCATTTACCCCCCAACTGTGTCTGTGTGTGCGTGTGGTGGACGCTCCTTCCTTCTCTCCCTTTTTCTCTCGCGCTCTCGGCGTAGGCAGTGTGGCTCCTCACAGGCGTTACTCACCTGTGTGCGATGTCCGTCCCCACGGCGGCTTTGCTGCAAACCTTCGACCTGTACGACACGGACCGCGTTGGCCATATTCCCGCCACATGCATCCCGCACGTGCTGCGGAGCTGTGGGATGTTCTCCACACCGGCGGAGATGGCGGCGCTGCTTCGCAGGCACTTTGCCTCCGGCGACACCGTGACGCGCAGTGAGTTCCAGAAGTTCCTGCAGCAAACGCAAGCCCTCAAGACGCAGGACTTCCGCTCAGCGGAGGAGCTGGCGACGGCGCTTAAAGTCTTTGACACAAGTGACGCCGGGGCACTCACCCCCGAGGAGCTGCGGGTGATTCTCACCCGCATGGGCGAGGCCATCGACGCGGACGCGTACCAGCGCGTCTTGGTGGGGCTCGAGCCAAATGAAGAGGGCACGCTGGACGTTGCCCGGCTTGCGGCGCACATGCTGCGCCCCACGAGGGAGTACAAACTCACCCCGCGGCAGATTCTTGACGAGCTGGCGAGGTGACAGCACCGGCCGGGCGGGAGGTGCCTGTTGTCTGCGTCTGTGCCTGAGCGGCGGGGGGGGGTGGGGTGGAAGAGTTTGCGTGCGGGCCTGTCGTGCCCGCGAATATCGAGTGTTGTGCCCCCTCGCTCCTCCTTTTTCAGCCGCCCCCGCTCGCCGCCCCGCAGACGGCGTGTGCCTGTGGACCGTCCTTCCTCCTCCTCCTCCTCCGCTGGGCTCTGCCGCCGCTCGTATGTTTGGTGTCCTTTTTTTTTTTTTACTTTTGTTTCCCGTTTGCCGCGTGGGGAAAATCCCCAAACAAACAACCCAACAAAAGAGCGACACGACCAGAAGCCCCACGAGGCGTGGGGGAGATAGAAAGGGAAAAGAAGGGTTTTGGTGAAACACGTCAGGGAAAGAAGAAGAAAAAGACAAACAAAAAATGGCTTTTGCGGCGCGCCCCTCGCGGGGGGTGTCGCTGAGCGCCGCGGAGGAGTGGATGATGTCGCTCACCGCCCAGGGCGCCATCGGCACGGTGAACCCCAAGGAACCGTCCTCGGTCGTGTCGGCCATGCGGTTCCTCCTGCAGATGTCTGCGGACCTCGAGCGGCACGGCAACCACCCGGAGAGCGTCAAGTGCGCGGAGTCCGCGTTGCTGCTGCGTCACGCCAACGAGGCGGCTGTGGCGCCGCTGCTCGCGCCCCTCATCGCAGAAGGGCTTCTGCCGCGTGGCGGCAGTAGCGTGGAGCAGGCGGAGGAGCTCGTGCTGCGCTGCAACGGCTACGCTGTGGCTGCCTTCAACGAAAAGCGGTTTGGGGCCGCCGAGTTCTTCCTCGGAAAGGCGCTCTTCCTCACCGATGTGCGAGACGCGGAGGAGGCAAACTACTTCCTTGGCGTGGAACCGCGTCGGCTGCGGCTGCGTGCCGCGACGCTGAACAACCTCGGCTGCATGGAAAAGCGGCGGCGGCGGCTGGAGGAGTCGCTTGGGTACCTGCGACAGGCGGTGGAACTGGAAGTCTCCCTCGACCCCACCTCGCGCGGGTCACCGTCGACGTACCTGAACCTTTGCACTGTGCTGAATGAACTCAACCAGCACCACGACGCGGTGAACGCCGCGGAGAACGCCATTGCAGCGCTTGAGGAGCAGATGCCGCGGCAGAAGAAGGAGCAACTGCCGGCGTGCGCTATGATGTTGGTTGTCGGACTCTACAACTTGGGCGTCTCCCTCGAGCACCGCGGCCGCGACGGCGACGCTGCCAAGTCCCGCGCCGCGTACGACCGCGCCCTCGAGGCGAGTCGGAAGTACTTCGTGGACCCCAACTGCCCCACCGTCGAACTCGCAATGGCGGCGCTGCGTCGCATGCATGCGGCACCAGCATTTCGTCTGGATCGAGTGGAAGCAAGGGCGCAGAGGAAAACGCAGGCGTCCTCCGTTCCGACACAAGAGTTACTACCGCCACCCCCACCGTCGCCGGCGCAGGAAGAACGGCAGGAGCAGCAGAGGCCGAAACAGGAGCAGCCATCTTCAGAAGGGGTGCGTGAGGGACCAGAGGAGCAAGGGGCACAAGAGCAGCAGGAAACGCAGGGGACTCCAATCTCCTGCTTGGCTCCAATCATCGGGGTGGCGACTCGTGAGAGTTCGCGGCGGCAAAGCAGCCAGTCACACGGATCACGCGCGGCCATGGAACGCTCCACTGCTTCCGCGCCATTCGCTTCGTTGCTACTGTCCACGGCTGGAAGTGCGCCTCCTTCATTGCCGAAGGTAGACGCACTCGCGCCACTTCGTACCCCCTCACTACCGATGCAGGCGCACACGGTGCCTGGCCCCACGGTTTCACACGTGGTGAGAAAGGAGTTTGGCTCCGTTCCACTTCACGCAGAGATCCCCACCGCCAACGGAAAAGCAGCCCCACTAGGTGCGCCGCTGAACGCATTTGGTAGCGCCACGAAGCAACCCGTTCCACGGCCGGCCGTCTTGGCCCCGCTGCGAACGGAGGGCGGAACGACGCCGAGCTCAATCAGCCCAACAAGGGAGCGACCGCGCGGTCTGAGCCTCAGCTCGATATCCCTGTCGAAGTCGATCCCAAAAACGGGTGCCTCACACAGCACCTCCGCTTTGCCCGGAGCTCCAAACCCGTTTGGCCGCCGCACCTTTGGGAGTTCCGCGGTGATAGAAGCGCAGAGTTCCAATTCACTTCAGCAGTCACGGCGAAGCATCGTGGGGGCAGAGGCGGATGCGATGGAAAAACATGTGAAACGGTCCTTGGTGCGGCAGGCAAAGGCAGAGGAGGCAAAGAAGCGAGCAGGTGTCGTTGGGAGACGCGGTAGTGCACTTGCCAAGGCGAAGGAACGGGAGGAAAAACGGCTGGCCAAGGAGGAGGCCAAAAATGATGCCGAGATGGCGGAAAACTTGTATGAACGCTTTGTGAGTGGCATGCGGGCAGAAAAGATGAGCCAATGCCATCGGGCCGCCACACGCATTCAACGCATCTGGCGCGGATGCATGGCCCGCACGCTGCTGCTTCGGATGGTGGTTGCGGCCCGAAGGATACAACGCGTGTTTCGCGTCCACCTCGGCAAGCTGCTCGCCGCCCGTCGGGCAGAAGAAGAACGACTCGCTCAGCTTCAAGCCGAGCGCGAGCGGCGGGAAACGGAGGCTGCCATTCTGCTGCAAGGACGCGTGCGGCAATTCCTCCGCAGGTTAGACATCCGGCGGGCCTACGTCGCAGGCAAGATGCGGCGGCACTACGCCGCACGGCATATTCAACGCGCGTTCCGAGCCTTCCTGAAGCGGAAAGAGGAACGCCTCGCGGCCCTGATGGAGGCGCAACGTTTGGAGGACGAACGAAAGCTGCAAGTGGCAATGCACGCCGCCCGACGCATCCAATGGACATTTAGACGCTACCTGCAACGCAAGCAGGAGATTCTGGCCGCGGAGAAGCAGCGACGGCGCGAGCGGGCGGCGGCGACGATACAGGCCCTGGTGCGTGGAGTCTTGGCTCGGGCGTGGTTCCGCTACTACAAGTCCTACCGCCGCGAGCAGGAGCTGAGGTCGGCGGTGAACCAAAAGCGGATTACCCTCATCCAGGCGTATGCCGGCGTTCTTCTTGCGGTTCGACTTCGTCGTGAGAAGGAGGTGGATCTTGTGAAGCGTCTCCGTCAGCAGCGGCTAAGGCGCGCGGCGACGCGGATTCAGTGCCAATGGCGGAAGCGTGTCGCGCGCATCAAGCTGGAACGTCTGCTTGCGGAGCACAATATGCGACAGCGACGGGCGACGAAGATTCAGCGGTGGTACGCCACCTGCGTCCTGCGTCGAAGATTCCTCGAGACGCGTGAACGGAACCGGCGTCAGAGCGCGGCTGTAAAAATTCAGCAGTGGTACCATTCCTGCAGGACGCGTTCGAAGGAGAGGGCAATGGCACGCTATTACGGCGAAGTTGCCCGCCGACAGCGACTGGGGCTTCTCCAGGCGCAGTCTATACTCCTGCTGCAATCATGGGGGCGATGCTTCCTTAGTACTGTGCTCGTTCAAAGTGTGCGAAGTTCCTTTTTGCGTCTTACGTTGTATGCGGAGGAGTTTCAGCGCATTGGACGAGGCTACGCGGGTCGCCGTCTTGCGTGCAGCATACGGTGCCGTCTTATTTATGAATCCAGGATGCGGGTGGAGCTCGATCGAAAAGTGGTGGCCGCCTGCGTCATTCAGCGTGCGTGGCGGTGTGCCATGGCCAGGGACACGGTGGAGCGTATGCGGCGGCGTCAGGCGGCCAGCGTGTGCATTGCCACACACTATCGTGGATATTTGTGTCGCAAGGAGCTTCGTCGCCTGCGTGAGGCCAAGCGGTTGGAGCAGGAAACACGCGCGGTGCTTGTTATGCAGCGGACGGTGCGTCAGTTCCTCCTGCGGCTGGAGCTCGTTCGCCTCGACCAGTACCACAGGAAGCAGCACCAAAAGAAACTCCTTCTGACACGACGTGAAGAGGCTGTCGTCACTTTACAAGCAGCGTGGCGTGGGCGGGCGACGCGAATGGCACTCGCGCGTGAGCGCAGGGCGTTAGAGGCCCTTGCGGTGTACGTTGTGAAGATTCAGCAGGCGTGGCGCGCGCGCAAATTCCGCCGGAACGTCAACACCGTGGTGGAGCGGCGTTCCAGCGAACGGATGTGTCGTTCCCGGGCGGCACTCACCATTCAGTGCTTCTGGAGGAAAATGGCGGCGGCGGAGGAGGCCGCCCGCCTGCGTGAAGTGAGCCGCATTCGCCAGGCGAAGGTGATTGTTCTCCAGTGCTGGTGGCGCCGGATCTTGGCGCGCTTGGAGCTCGAGACCCTTCGAACGCAACGCAAGGAGGAGCTCGCGCTGCAGCTGCACTACATGGACAAGTGGGATGATACCGTGACGCGCATCAACGCCGCCCTGCGTGTTCGCGCCGCCCAGCAGGAGTTGTTGGCGCGCAAACGCAAACAGCTCCTCGCCCGCTTGACGGACAAGGAGCGGGAGCGCTTCTTAAGGCGTCACGGGTCGGCGGTGAAGATACAGGCGGTGTACCGCGGCCACTACGAGCGCGTCTACGCGCGCGGACTTCGACGCGAAAAGGAACTGGAGGAACGCCGCCAACGCGAGCGCGCGGCGCTGGAGCGGCGCAGTGCGGTCATAATTCAGTGCGCGTATCGATCGTGGCGGGCCATTCATGAGGCAAACGCCCGGCGCGCCGCAAAGCGCGAGAAGGCGTTAGCGGAGGAGATGGAGCATTTGGCCACCGTGGATCCGCACGAGGTCGTTCGGCAGCTGTTTTGGGTGCACGAGTTCACCACGAAGAGGGATTTGGTTAAGCGACGGCTTGACTACGCCAACGCGCGTCGCAAAGCGGCCGAGGTGATTCAAAGGGCGGTTCGTCAGTGGCTTTCAAAGCGGAGGCTGGAGAAGCTGCGCCGCGAGACGGTCGAGACCTACGCAGCGAAGATTATTCAGGACTATTGGAAGCAGCACCGCGTGCGTGAGCTTCAAAAGTCCAATGAGAGGGAGGCGCGGGCCGCCGTCATTATTCAGACACGCTTCCGCGGCTACCTGGTGCGACAGGAGTGGAAAGAGTGGCGAAGCCAAATGGCATACGAGCAGCAGCATCAGGTGCTCGAGGAAGATGTCTACGATCGCGCCGCCACGGTGCTTCAGTCGTTCTGGCGACGCATTCGGGCGCAGCGTATGGCGGCGCAGTTACGGGAGGAGAGGCGGAGAAGCAAGGTTCAGCAGCTTTTGGACGAGGCCGCCAGCACAATTCAAAGTGCATACCGCCATTATAGGCAGCGTCGTGCCATTGAGCGGCACACGAATGTATTATAGTTTGTTGGTTTTTCTTGTTGCTTTTGTTGTCTTTGTTGTTGTTGTGTGCTCCGCATTCCTACATATGTATCACGTGAAGAAGAAGGGGAACCTTGTCTCTGTTACTTGGCGGTTCCCGGTGCTCACCCGAGTCCTTTGAAGAAAAAGAACGAGACAAGGAATACGGAAACAGTGGGTGGCGGGAGAGAAGAAGCGCAGGGGTTGGTAGGGCCTGCACGTCTGCCTCTCTTCTTAACTCTACTTCTTGCGTACGGGGCTGGGCGTGGGGGAGAGGCTATTTCTGACAGCTTCGTATCGTCCCTTGGCATCTTTGTTGTTGTTGTTGTTATTTTTTTTTTGCCGACTTGCTTTCTCCCGCTTCTTTGCTCCGTAAACCGCGCGGCTTCGGCGCACGTAAACACGGAACTGCCGCCGCCCGCTCGACCCAGTGAGCGCGGGAAAGAAATGTCAGGCGTGGCGCCACACCGCCGCTTTGTCGCGGTGGAGCTCCCTTTTTGCCTCCCTGTGACGACGGCGACGAAGAGGCCTCCCAGCACGCACGGCGGCGGCGGGCTACGCGAGGAAGAGCGTCGAATGGTGGAGGCCTTCGTCCCGCCGTCATTTTTGCGCCCCGCCCTTGATGAGGTCTCCCCCGCGCCGGGGGAGGGAACCGCGAAGGAGCCGGCGGAGGGCCCCACGCAGGGTGCAGGAGCCGGGAAGCAGCCGCACGAACGCAGCGCGGGGATCGCGTCGGCGTCGGAGTACTACACAGGCGAGGTCTTCTCCGGCTGGCGCCCGCTGGACTTTGAGGCGGAGGCGGAGAGGCCGCAACCGCACGACGGCAGCAGCCAGAGCCTGTTAAAGAACGCAGGTGAGCAGGGGAAGTGGGAGCGGGAGAAGATGCTGCGGGACTCGTTTCCCTCGTTCGCGCCGCAGGTGCTGCTTCAGGGGTTCTACAGAAACGACCTGTTGGTGGAAGTGACCCGCACCCGGCGCGTTAAACGGCTGCGTGACCGCGTCAGCGGCCGTGTCGTGAAGGAACTGGACCTGCCGGACGACGGCGACGGCGAAGGCCTCGGGCAGCCGCGGGCGAAGGTGGTGGGCGTGGTGTCGCGGGAGGTGGACCTTGTCCGGCCCGCGGACTTTTGCTTTGCCCCCTTCTCGAAGGAGCTGTTGGCGGCCGCGCCGGCCCTCTGCAGCGGGACGCTGTTTCCGCCGGCGCATTTTGTGGCGGAGAAGACGCCGTTTGAGGTCGAGTGCGAGTTTGGCGGCCACTTCGGGCGACAGTCCTCAAAGCCGCCCCCCGGCGGCGAAGCAACTCGCGAGGAGACGGGGGATGGACCACTCGAGTGGGAGTTTGAGGCGATGCCGACGCTGTCGGTGATGGCCGACGACCCCAACATCCCGCCCCCCACGCTCCCCGCGCAGCGCGACCTCCTTCAACGCCTCAACGGCGGCGATGCCGAAAACGAGTGCGTGGAAGTGCGGACCATGAGGCAGCTGTTGGACGAGCGCCCGGTGTGGATCACGCAGGAGCTGCTGCACGCCGTCCTCCAGTCCGGCGTCTGCCCGCGCAACCACATCAACAAGAAGGTCATGTCCTGTCTGACGTACGTGATCAAGAACGGACCCTTCAACCGCCTGCGCGTTCGTCTCGGGTTTGACCCATACGGCAGCCACACCACAGCCTCGCTGCAGCGCGTTGCGGTGAAGATCAATCGCCGTTCCGAGCTGGGCACGCTGCTGCGCGACATCAGCCGCGTCCCACATATCGCAGATGTGATGCGGGAGATTGAGAAGAAGCACGCCGACGACGCTCGCGCGACACGGGGTGCGGATGTTAATCGCCCAGACTGTCTGCCATGTCGCCCTCGGGGGTCCTTTGTCGCGAAGCTCAGCGAGGTTATTCAGGAGGGTCGGCTGTACGTGGCCTTTCAGCTCGTGGATCTGAGCGACGACGCGTCTTTGAGGGAGCTGCTGCAGCGGGTGCCGGCCGCCGCCGGCATGCCTCTCGAGCAGCGGACTGGCAGAAACGGGTGGATCGGGGAAGCCGGCTACCAGCGCGCCTCGGTTCACATCGCGGAAGCGCTGGCCAACATGATAAGAGACGAGGTGGCCCCGGCGCTGGAAAGCCGCGGCAAAGTCGCGGTCGCCGCGAGGCTGCCAGAAAGCCGCCGCAGCGGCAGCAGCTCGAGCCCGTCCCCGGAAGACAGCAGCACCGAGAGCGGGGACGGCGACGACGAGGAGGACAACGACGACGACGAAGAGTCGTTTGACAGCGCCGCCTCTACAGCCGCGAGTACCGCCAGCCGGGAGACCTTTTAGTCGCGTTTTGTGTGTCGTTTTCCTTCCGTTTACCCTTCGCCTTTGCCGCCGCCACCGCGGCGAGAGAGACCACCCGCTTTTTTTTTTCTAAAAAAATGAACAACAACGCCGCCCTCCTCTCCCTTCACTTTCGCCTTTTAGCTAAGAGAGCCGCACCCCACACCGACCCCGCGCTACGGCTGCGAAGAAGAAGCGCGCGACCGCCGGACGGCCCGCAACGCCCGGGGCGGAATAAGCCGCCGGAACGAAGTCCCTCGCACGGGACGCCGCCCACAAAAAAAGACGGGGAGCCGCCGCGCGGCGCCCAAAACGCCCCAACCACAAAAGAAGGACGTTTTATAACACCTTCTTCGGGCAAGCTGCGCGAGTGAAGGCGGCCCCACCTGTCCCCTCGCCCCTCCACTGTCGTGGGTAGGGGGGCCGCGCCCGTTTTATAGGAGCCGGGGAATCCAAAAAGGTATTTCCCGCGCCCCCGGGGCGACCGCTAAGGTCGTCGGCGAAGCCTTTTTTTTTTTTTTCCTTTTTCCACGGCGAAGCGGCCCGCCGCACCCGGCGCCGCGGGTCAGCCAGGGATAACCCAATCTTGTGCTCAAATCACGGCGCGGCTCAGACTAGAGGTGTCAGGCGCACAGGAGTCTCTGCATCACGCGTCGCGCAGCGGCGGCGCCGAGAGGGGGGCGGGGAGGCGGGGAGTCAGCCAGGGATAACTGCGTCGAGTGCTCGCTCGTCACAAGCTGTTATCAGAAGAGGTGTCAGAGGCACAAGGTTTGGCATCACTTCCCCCCGCACCAGGCCGGCGCAGCAGCACAGCGAAAGAGGAGGAGTAGGAAAAAACCAAAAGAAAGAGAAGGAGGGCGGGCGGGCGGCAGCCGCGACCCCCGCCNCCCCCCAACCGCGGACGCACGGCGCAACGCGCCGGAACCGCGCCGCGACG